AGGGTAGAGAATGGGAGAGCATGGAGATAACAGGATGGGAGATAAGAGAATAGAAGATAACAGGATGGGAGATAAGAGGATGGGAGATAAGAGAATAGGAAGATAAAGGATGGGAGATAAGAGGATGGGAGATAAGAGAATAGAAGATAAGAGGATGGGAGATAGAGGATGGGAGGTAAGAGGATGGGAGATAAGAGGATGGGAGATAAGAGGATGGGAGATAAGAGGATGGGAGATAAGAGGATGGGAGACTAAGAGGATGGGAGATAAGAGAATAGAAGATAAGAGGATGGGAGATAACAGGATGGGAGATAAGAGGATGGGAGATAAGAGGATGGGAGATAGAGGATGGGAGATAAGAGGATGGGAGATAAGAGGATGGGAGATAAGAGGATGGGAGATAAGAGAATAGAAGATAAGAGGATGGGAGATAAGAGGATGGGAGATAAGAGGATGGGAGATAAGAGAATAGAAGATAAGAGGATAGGAGATAAGAGGATGGGAGATAAGAGAATAGAAGATAAGAGGATGGGAGATAACAGGATGGGAGAATAAGAGAATAGGAAGATAAGAGGATGGGAGATAAGAGGATGGGAGATAAGAGGATGGGAGATAAGAGGATGGGAGATAAGAGAATAGAAGATAAGAGGATGGGAGATAGAGGATGGGAGATAGAGAATAGAAGATAAGAGGATGGGAGATAAGAGGATGGGAGATAAGAGGATGGGAGATAAGAGGATGGGAGATAAGAGGATGGGAGGTAAGAGGATGGGAGGTAAGAGGATGGGAGATAAGAGGATGGGAGATAGGAGAATAGAAGATAAGAGGATGGGAGATAAGAGGATGGGAGATAGAGGATGGGAGATAGAGGATGGGAGATAGAGGATGGGATATTGGAGAACAGATTGGACCACAGCACACCAAGTCAAAGAAGGGAGTGATGATGCTAAGCAAAATGCTGCGAAATGGCTCATGTGTGTTTGATCAAGACGACATCACGACTACAAGGATACATGACGATGCAAGGGAATCTTTACGAAGCTGTTTATGGACAAAGGAATGATACCACTATGATAAAGATTTGTGCATGATAATCCACCCCTCCTTCTTCGGTCTGCGATCTTCTCCTTCATAAGGCACAACAACCTGCTCATGCTGTTTGGCATCTCTTACTACGAGAACTTCTTGTAACGCACCTTGTTGAGAACGTTGAGCTGCAACCATGTCGGCTGCTGCCAGGTCTCTCTGTACCTGCCGTTTCATCGTGACAAGAAACGTGACAGCAGCAGGCAAGAAGGCAGACCCGAAGTTGGAGTAGATTTGACGAACGTTGTCATTCTCCACATGCAAGAAGATCTCCGAATAGCCCCACTGCCCCATCATCTCACTTCCAACTTCTCCTCTCTTCCGCCGCCACAGCCACCCCCGCCTCCTCCTCCTCCTCCTCCTCCTCCTCCTCACCGTCTTGCACTTGTCCTCGCACCATTCCACCAACTTTCGGGCGATCCCTTCACAGCTCGTCACCAGGCTGTCAATCAGCTGCTGTCGCCTGACCTTGTCGGCGGTATCGGGGCAGGACCGACAAGTTGAAGAGGTAAGGCTTGGGAGGCGAAGGGCGCGCAGGGTACGGCACGAGGATCAGCTCGACAGCTCCAGCGATCTCGCCGCTGTTATTGATGACAGCCTGCGCGGGTGTGAATGTGAAGAAGTAGACAGGGAGGAGGGGAGCACCTTTCCCACGGCACAGAGCTCTTGCTTCTTCGTCTTGGGATCTTTCCTCGTCACTTCGCTCAACCTCGTGTAGACCTGCCCAGCTCGTCTTCACCTGCCGCTGGGGCTGAAGAACTTCAACCCCACCTGCTTCCGAGAGTTGACAAAGTCGTGACCGAAGAACTCCTTGCCGTCGGGGCCTCTGGGTGACAGCATGAGGGGAACGAGCCTGCTTCGACTTGCGGACCTGAAGGGGAGGAGTGACTTGGGCAAGAAGGGAACAAGCGATCTTGGGAGGAAGCTCATCGCCGCGAGCTCGGGGGGGATCTCGGAAAGGTCACAGCATCCTGGGAGGTATGAACACACAGCAGATATGCTAGAATGATGACAGACCATAGAATGATTTCATCGAGGCGTTGACGATAGGAATGATATCCTGCGGTTACAGGTCAGGAAACAGCACAGCACAGCACAGCACAGCACAGCACAGCATATTAGCAACTCCTCCCTCACACATGCAGCATCACTCGCCTTGGGTGTGGCATCAAGAATGCTAACAGAATCGGGCCGTTGGGTCTGAAAGTGACGCAAGATGTGACAACTCTGATCAAATAGTCGTGTTCGATCGTAGCAACAAGGGCAACAACCTGCATCGACAAGCCCAGGACGCGGATAGAAGTAGGGTGAGGCGCTAGGACTGGAACCCACTCAGATTTCCTCCTGTCCATCATACATCGATGATGGAGAGAGATGACACGACTGGTGGCGGGGATGAACGTGAGATCTGAATATCCTTGCAACGATTGTTGCACCTGATCCTTCGTCAGTCTCAATTTTCCCGCTTCAATCCCTCCAGCATTCACAAAAGACAACACATGCAAGTAGGAGAGGGCCTGTGCATGGAAGACATGGGAGGACGAGACCGTCATGCATAGCATCTATTTGATGCCGCATCTGCTTATCTCTCTTTCTCCGCATCTCTGCATCGCCTGCGACTTACCAGCATTGCGGCAATCGCGATACGCAATGCAGCCATGGCGGATCCGAGACTGATGGCTGATCCGATGTGAGGTAGTACCACTGTAGTACCAGTGCTTTACCCCAGGGTGGAGTCTACATTGAGTGGGTAGGGTACTCGATTATCGAATTAGCTCAAAATTTTTTGTGGAAGTGGTTCAGCCAAGGCTCCGGTGACGGTGGGGTACTGTTAACAAGGGGGGTGGTGCTTTCCAAGACCCGGTAGATGTCACCATTGGAGTAGAGGTTGATAATCAGTACGGGTACTTTGAATAATGACAATGACCGGTCATAAAGACCATCAGGTAGGCGAACGCCAAGGGTAGCATTCGGAAGACTGGGAGGTGATGGTGGTGCTGATGGATAGGGTAGGGTGGTGGGGTAATGGGATGCTTTTCACGATGCTGGGTGACGTAAGACGGGAGGGAGGAAGTGAGAGGGGGGGGATGAAGAAGCGAATGTGAGGGTAAGGAGAATGCAGAGATGACGGAATGAGAGGGGATGAAGTAGTCCAAGAAGAAGTACACTGGAGAACGAGTGAACATATCCCCACTCTCCTGAAAAGACTAATTCAGAAGTAATTATGTAGATTGAAAAGCTTATCTTGATACGAAATCCACCATGGATTGAAGAAGAAGGACATGAGCAAGTGGTGGCCAGCAGGCAAGACAACAGATGAAGGTATGCATATTCGATGCTGTTCCCTTGTTTTACAGTGGCTGCAGAACAAGTCGATTTGCACAGCAAGAATGGACAAGAGTTGCTTGACCCAGTCTGCTCAGAAGAATCTGATCAAGCAAAGGAAGAATTTCAAGATAAAAAAGATGAAGTAAATGACGCTAGCTTCTCCGGTTGGTCTAAGGTAGAGGACTTGCTGCAGAAAAAGTGAGACATATTGCTTGGACTTCTGTCCCTGACACCTTGAAGCTTCTGGAAGGCTCAATCGCCACATCCTGCCGAGTGCTCGAAGGCGCTCGACGAGTTTCTTGACTCGGTCTTCGGGTCAAGCCTGGATGAAGCGACTCTGCAGGTGAAACGAACGAGCTGACGTCAGCTCTTGCAGCTGTGAATCCATGTACTGCCGGAAACACTCAGTGGATGCCCAGGCAAAGGACGCGATTCGAGCTGAAAACAAGTCGATCGACGAGCTGATAGAGCATGGCGCTACCGTTGCCGATCTGGTTAACATGGGGGTGCGTGAAGTCACCGCTTAAGTAGCTGGGAGATGCTAAGCCCCCCACAGGTTCCCTTCCCTCAGGCAAGGAAGTTCCACACAGCTCTGTGTGCGAGAAAGAGTCAAGCAGCGCGGCTCTTGGTGGTTGAAGGTCAAGAGTCAAAGCTCTCGAGGAGGTTTGAAATCTTTCTGTCCCAGAAGCGCCAGCCAGCGGTCAGATCGATGAGCTTGTCGAGGAAAGAATTGAGTCCAGGACGATCGGCTTGGAGAAAAATCAGACATGGCGAGGAGAGAGTCCAGTAGCCAAGGGTCAAGTCAAGCCACATGAGCCGAGTGGTGAGCAGGAGGACAGCCTCCGAGCGCCACTGCAAGAAGAACTTCTGCTGTGGATCCAACAACGAGGCCTGACCTGCGAAGCTAGCTTTTCTCATCAAGGGTGCGGACAGGAGACGCGAGAAGGGAACAAGTACCTCTGTGACTACCATGCAGATACATCGACTTTGCATGCATGGAAGAGCTGAAGGCTCAAGATATTGAAAAACTGGGAGTAGCAGAGCCGCAGGCGTCTGAGGTTGGCCATCGAGACCCGCACGTGACGGCTGATGTCGGACTGCAGTTGCACGATGAGATCCGAAGGAGGAGGCTGGAGGATCAAAAGTTGGTCGAAGAAGCTTCGAAAGCTGTGGGATATGAAGGACAGGCTAGAGCTCGTTGCTGACTTGCTGGCAGAGAGGTTCTCGCAACGTACAGCGCGCAGTGAGCATCGCCTCTGAAGCCTGGAGGAAGAGTCTGGAGTCTTGGAGGGATCAAGGACAGGTGAGAGGAGGGGCAGGGGCATTCGAGAAGACGTTTGGAGGACTGTATCACTTAAACCTGCCGTAGCATCCAGGAGAAAATGGTAGGCCACGAGACCTCTGGAGGAGGACGATGGACTTCGCTAGCTTGGCGGGAAACGGAGCAGTAGAATCAGCTCAGGTCCTCCCCTTGTGCTCCTCTGAAGGCTTGACGTCAATCATTGACCCTGCAGATGTTCATGAAGCACATCTCCAACCAAGCTGAGGATTTTGTGTCCGCACGAACCTTCGGGTTGTCGTTTGACGATGCTCTGGTCTCCTCAGCCTTTCGGTACCAGCAAACTTACGGAGTCTGAGCTGAGCGACTTTGCAGTATCGAGGGGGTTGATGGCAGCTCCTACATCGACTGCGCTGTTGCGAAGTTTTCCTACACACTCAGTCCGTCCATCGCCATCGGCTATGCTCTAAGATCAGGTGCCGCATGCCGCCTCGTGCTCCATCGGCTGACGGCAACGGAAGGCTGTCACCTCCATTCCTTCGACTTCCTCATCAAGGCCTTCAGCGAGTCTGGCTACCTGCGGCTCGGGGTCATGCAGGTGGACCAGAGCGAGGCGGGAGCTCCGGGGCTGAAGGGCGAGCAGGAGACAGGCTGCATCGACTTGGACTTGGACGGCGCGTTCAAGGTCGGCGACGACGAGCGGAGGTTGGCAGGCTCGCTCGCGATGCTTCTCAGCTGATCTACTGACAGCTGGGCGATCTCGTCGGGTGGAAACCTGATTCATTCCAACAGCAGCTGGGGGCCGCGGCTGAAGGCGCCTCTCAAGTCGGGGGACCGAGTGAGGGTCATCTACTACGAGCACACTGGAGGCAAGTCACGCGCTGCTTCCTCCTCCTGCCCCGTGACTGTGCGGCTGCAGAGCTTCGGTTCGGAGTCAACGGCTCGATGACAGGTGTCAAGTTCAACAAGGTCGCTGGGCCGCTCGTCCCGTGCGTGTCGGCGAGCGGGCAGACCAAGTGCGTGGTGCAGCTTGACAACTACTGGAACTATTAGGTTGACAAGTGAATAATGAGGGGCCGGCAGAAGAAGAAGCTTCCTTGCTTTCCACCACCAGACGTTGGAGAGGTCAAACAGAAAGTCGACAGACCTCACGCCTCAGAGCTCAGAGTTTGTTCGTCTCGCCTTGGATTGCTCTCTCGTGAGCTCCTTTCATACTTCGGGTCATCGGGCTCGACGCCTGTACATCGGTTGAGCAATGCGACTGCTGGTGTTTCTGTAAAACAAATCAATCCGTGAAGGTTCGAATCATGTGCAAGCACAGAATGTGATGTTCTCTTAGCGAGAGACCATTGCATCTTGCTTTAAGCTTCCTGGTAAGATCCGTGAAGTTCGAGGTTGAAAGACATGGAGAGAGTAATGAAAGGGAAAGCCAGGACACGAGTGGGAGGCATGGAGAGGGAGGACGAGGGAACAAGATGCGGAAAGAGAGAGAAAAGAACACACTTTAGGAGATCTGGGATGAAATCAGAGAGCGAAGCCAAGTACTTCATGTCCAAGGATTTCACATGTATTTCGGAGATCTCAAGCAAACAATATAATGTACAGTACAAGGACAAATTCCCTCGAATAAAAGAATACTTCAAGACAACATCAGCGTGTCGAAAGAAGATAGATTCAGTGATTAGACTTTGGATGCATCCTGGTCGTTCATGTTCGTAGCCAAGACTTCAGGCTTGGTCAGGTCGTCTGTAGCCAAGAAAGCGTTGGAGGGCAGCAGGCTCGAGTCCTTCATCCCTAAGTAGACAGGGCTCTCGACCCCCGTGCTGGACCCCTGGTTTGCTCCTCCTCGGAGCGAGAGGTCAGAGAGAGAGAGGAACCCGGAGTCCCATAGTGCGATCACGACCAGGTAGATGTAATGCAGGACCATGGCGGTCACTGTGATGAACTCGAGCGGCACGAGCCCGAAGATGATAGCGTTGAGAGGAGCCCATGTGGTCAAGCAGCTCTTGTACAGGTCGGGAAAGTCTTTCTTGACGCGCGCAATGCTGCCCTCCACTCCCTTGAACTCTAGCAGGGACAGCACCACCAAGAAGCCTAGGCAGTAGAGGGGCGTGTACACCGAAGAGCTCGCCACGGTCATGAAGGCCGTGTGCTGCAGGTGTGTCTGCGTGTAGGTGTTGGCGAGGTCGTCCACGTAGTGATACCTGCAGGCGATGAGGAGCGAGCAGCTCGAGCAACAAGACTCACCAGGAGTGCGTGCATAGCCCATCCACGAGGCCGACGAGCATCCAGCGAGCAAGCCATGCCACCTCTTGCTTCTGGTTGGCGATCTTTCCAGCAGACAACTTTCCTAGTAGGTAGAGCAGAGCAGCTGACACGCCGTCAGTTTGCAAGGGGCTGGAGGACAGCACTTCCGTGTAAGACTGCCAGAGCTGTGAGGGGACACTGCCGATGGCGGAGAGGAGCAAAGAAACGTCGAGTGAGTCGAGGCTCATCCTGGTTGCGCGTGCCGAACGCAAGGCAAGCTCTCTCCTCGTGAATGGGCGTGATGCTATCCATCTTCCATCCTTGAGCAGACCCGAAGCATGCCATGATGGTGGTGCCGCTGTCAGAGCTCGTGCTGTTGACAAAGTTGGGTAGGCGCTGAAGCCCAAGACAGTGCTGATCTTGCAGATCACAAAGAAGCATGCGATAGGGAATAATGGAGATGATGTAGCACGGTCCATGTTGTTCCTGATCGACCTAGAAGGACAAACAAGACATTAGCAAATACCATATCGGGGGTATTGAGAGGAATCTGACAAAAAAAAACCAACAGTGCGGGCTCGAGGTAAGCTAGCAAGAAGATCGGTTTTCATCCTGATCCTACAGATTCGAACTCGATTTGCTGTCATAAGGAAGGGTCCAAGTCTTTGGTCTACTTCTGCTTGTGAATTCACCAGTCATCCCTCTCATGACAGTTCTTAAGCTATTTCTTTTCTCAATCTTGATCATCGTCACCGTGCAATTTATCGTAGAAGTTTGTCTGTCAACCTTCTACTTTCATCTCACGTCTGGAATCTGCTTTGTTCCATGCATTCCTCGCGTTCATGCTGCCATACTACCGAAAGCAAGAGCATGAGCATGGATACCGAGGAAAGCTCTTCTTCCCTCTCCGTGCATCCTCCCCGCAATTCACACAAGAAACATTTTCCACCCCACCGCTTCTGTACCCTACCCCTACCGCATCCTATTAGTTGAAGAGGAATGAACCGGTACTAGAAAGGATCTGTACCACCCGTCATGGAATGCTCCCTTACAAGAAAACGTTTTTGAGATTAAAAAAAGTCCGACCCGTACCCCTAGCAAGACCATAGGTACACAGGGGTAGGTTTATATTCGCTCTTTCAAGAGAAGGTAGGGTGTTCAAGAAATATTGAAGCGGTGGGTATAAATCGTGATGTTTCAGATGGTGGGGGTAGTGGCTTCGGGGGTGGGGGTCATGTCACAACAATGGGGCTCTAATATAACTTGGGGAATAAAAACTTGGGGAACAATCAGATCAGATCACCCCCACCCACCCCCACTAGGGGTTTTACGGATGTCCCCAAATGTCATTTAATAGATAAACGCCACGAATCTATCTACCACGGGTACTCTCCCTCATGATGTGACGGAATATGTGAATACCCTTCTGAACGACGAACTAAGTTTTCGCACAGAACTGCCGTCGTATGATTGAGAGCCGCGACTCTCCGTCATACAACGGCAGTTGTTTTTTTTGCCAAATTGTCTTCGGATGTTGTTGGAGCCTTACATGAATCCTACCAAATGATGCCAGTCAGTCACTTCAATGATCACATGTCGTAAACATCGGATCATAATGGAGGCAGGCACCGGGCAGGCAGGCAGGCAGGGAATTAGGCATCGAGTCCCGAGGGACGCAGTCTGGGTAGGGAGGGGGCGACAACAATCATTGAATTCACCTCAGGGGCGACGTAGGTGATTCGGTCTTTCAGGAAACACATTGAAACAAGTGAGTATATTCAGTGCAGCATTCAAGTCCCTGGATTTGATCGGCTTTCCTTTACAGCTGTCACGATAACAGTTAGATGAAAAGGTGAATTACAGGAGTATACAAAACTTGACATTACCTCGATGATCTGCAAAATTTCAATCCTCGTACTTCACTTTTCCTTGTTTTCAACCTACAGGTCTCGTCTGGTTCTTTCCCTGTATTTTCAATCCGTCGAAGCACATCGAGCTCAGAACCACAATCGTTACAGCACTTGGTAGTACGGTATTCGTCAACATCTACGACTCTGTAGTGATTCTCGAATCTTCTTCTTATCCACCTGACCGGTACAGGCCTTTCTCCTCGACGTCCTGTAGACGGGAACCTTGCATTTCCATATGCGATAACAGGTTCTATTTCTCCCTTTCCTTTCATTGTACGGATAAACCTGTCGACTGACTTTCGTTTCGAAATGTAGATGTCGAATTTCATCCTGGCGTATTTTCGCTTTGAATAATGCGAAGTTAACTCCTCCCAATGACTTGTAACTGCAAGAAGATAGTCTTCGAATCTTGATAGACTGCCGCCAGACTTACTCGAGAACCCCTTGAGATAGTGTAATGTCGATTGAATATCTTGATCCCACGTCTTTCTTTTCTTTTTATTGCGATTCAGATGTGACTCGTGATAATATTGTTTTCTCGAAAACTGAAATCTTTTTCTGATTATTTGTTGATCATCTCTGAATTGTTCGACGGCCGATATAATGACGCTCCTCCCAGGGTCGATCGCAATTACCCTTGGGCAATTTTTACATTCTTCGATCTCTCTTTGGTATTCTGAATTTTCATGTAATACTTTGTATGATATTGATATCTTCTTCGCCGATTTCCGTTCAGCCCTTTTTCTATCGGCAAGCCATTTGGTAGTGCGCAATGAAGGTTCCTGTTCGAGTCCATCGATTGTTTTGACAATTAACGTGAAGCGAAAACAAACCGATACACCGTCTGTCGTGATACTTGTAATCTCCTCTCTCTGATCTCTGAACAGATTCGAACAGTCGAAAATCCTTCTGAAATTCTTAGAGTTCTCCAAAGTTTGATCTATTCTCATGAACGATTTTTTATCTTCTCCCGGTTTCAAACTGTTCGCTTCTTTCAAAATGTAATACATCACATCATTATCGATTGTTAGATGTTTTCTGCCGAATTTCGACATTGGTGCTGCCTTGAATGTTTTTTTCGAGAGACCACGATCTTCGACAAGAACTTCAACATGAACATGTGTGTCTCGATTATCTCAAACAGATTTTTCTGCAACCTATGATCAAATTTGTCATATTTGAAACTAAAAAGATCTTCGTCCCCCGATAATCCAATTAGTTGTTTCATATGGTCGATGAAGGTTCCTATCTGCTGTGAATTATTCCTGTTAAACACTTCTGTCTTCAACTCGTAATCTTTCCTTTGAAACAATACATTCTTCACGTCTTCGATTTCTTGCTGATGGTTAATATGTAACTCTCCTTTGCAGAATTCGGCAATGAACTTTTCCAATCGGTTTGTAAAATTTGCTTTCAGGTCTTGGTAGAAATTCGTTCCATATTGATTTGCAGCGAATACAATAGCTTGCGAGTCTCCTCGAATTCTACATAAATCAACGAAAAGATGTCTTTTCTCTGACCAGAAACGTTGTAGAGTTGGATACTTGTTATCTGTACGGCTATGTTGTTCCATTCCAAGTGTAAAAACATTCCAGAAAAAGGTCGATTTGGCTCTCTTGATTTCATCCACTACATATCGTAAATTCCCTGTATCCCTGCCCCATATCAGAAAACAGTTGAATATCATACTGCCTCTTGATGTGATCTGACTGATATGTAATACCCATCTGTCGATCACGTCTAAAATCGATCTGTTCTCTACCTTGAGTCTCGAGTATAACCCACATTTGACGACTCTCGTGAATGGTTTTGAATAACTTATTTCTTGACCGTTGTCTGAATCATCTGTAATTCGTTTTCTCTTCCTCGGCATGTTATAGTATGTTAGTCTGGCGAAACCATGTTAGATAGCAGGTAGTCACTACATTTTTTTCATTACCATCGTTTCAGTGTATTGTCGGACCGCAAACTCTGTAATGGCGGGAAGATGAAACGAGCAGCCACAAACTTTCCGTCGGACTCCGGGAAGGCGGGAAGATTTTTTTTTCTTTTTTAAGACCCTCATACAGCCCCATTGGATGGGTGATTGAAACCTATCAATGACCCCTGTCATGCTGGTCCAGGACTCCTTCGGGAGTCCTTTTGTCGATTAAAGGTTAAGCCAGTCACTGAGTGACTTTCCTGCCGGCCCCGCCGGGCGGCCCGACTGTCAAGCCAGTTTGACGGTGACCGTCTGACTCGGAATGAAGATGCAGGTGGCAGTCAAAACCATGTAGCGACGCCAAAGTCAAATGCAACAACTTCCAATCATGCTCAAGGTGAAGACCACAGATATTCAATGCTGGCTTAATCGCTTCTGCAGTGCTATTCACTGCTGACATGCTCGTGTTTTGTGTTATGGTGTCCTTACATGTCATCTGATACTTTACAAGGTGCATCGAGAACAACATGCGAGGCTCGCCCTGCTCGCGTTGTTGGCGGCTAGACAGGGAGGAGCTTTGTGTGTACAATGGCATGGAGCTCATCGTCGCAGATCGAGGGGGGCAGGGGCAGATGCACCTGATGGCGGATGAGAAGAGGTGGGAACGTTGCAGGTAGAGCCATGGGCTGGCCGGACCGAGTGCTGGCCCGACATTGGGAGTTCGGCTTCAGCATCATGGCGGACAAGATGGAGAAGCTCAGACTTGGAACTAGACCGATCCTTCCACGACAACCAGAGCTTCGCCTTGGTCATCTGCACCCGTCGACTGGGAAGCGAGCACACGTTTTTGTCTCCAGCGAGCCGCATGCGGAGGAGGCGCTGGCGAGGATAGCGAACAGAGAGCTGTCGCTAATTAGCACGGAGTTTGCTTTCTTCTGCTACGTGATGTTTAGCACCTGGTCCTTTGCTGTGAGACCGGGACAGCCCATGGTCTTGTTGCTGCCGCAGTGCGCATGCGACGCTATCAAGATGAGGCCGAAGGAAAATTCGCCGTCATGAAGATAATTCAGCAGCAGGAGTTTGACAGCTAGCTACCGTGCCATGATGCTACCGTGCCGCACTAGAGAAACAAAAAGACAGCGAGACAAAACCTCGCAGCTCCACTACCATCAACTAGCTGAGTCCGATCGTTAGCTGACTGATGATCGGATCGGATGCCGCGCCTACCGTGACCGGTCATATCGTACGGGTCCTTTCAGGAATCAATCATGAACATACTTGGATCCGTACGCCAACAATGGATCGGACCCATCTTTTATCCGTACAGTTTAGGTTTGCGGCGGTATCCTGTCAGTCTTGCACGTGTTTCAAGACCGAGCACAATGGCCAACTGATTGCCTCCTGACTGATCCCAAGGCTCGAGCCATTCCCAAGGTTGGAAAGTTTCGTCATCATAGGAAGCTCTGCGATGTAAGCTCATGAGCGCCATCCATCCGATGTCATGCATCTCTCGATCATCAGGATGAGCGCGTATGGCGGCGACAATGGCGGCGATGCCTCCTGTTTCCCGTATCTGTACCTTGCCATCCTCGTTCATCTGGTTTTCCTGGTTCAGCTTGGAGAATATGTTGCAAGCCAATGACTGCATTGCCGGGCAGTTATGATGAGCACGCATGGCGGCGACGAGAACGGGGATGGCTCCTTGCTCTAGAATTCTGGAAATGATCTCACCATAAAATTCGTATTCCATCTCAATCAGGCTCAAGATCACCAGACAGCCCTTCTTCTGTACCTCCAGTCTGTCCAGGTGAGTGCGCATTGCGGCGACAATGGCGGGGATGCCTCCTGCACCCAGAATCAAACCCACAATTTCCTCGTTGGCCGTAAGATCCTTGAGCGCCTTGCATGCAAGCTCCTGTATCGCACAGCTGTCAGGGTGAGCGTATAGAGCGCGCATGGCGGCGATGATGGCGGAGACACCGTCAGCTTTCGCAATGAGGAAAATGTTGGCAAACTTGCTGTTGAGCGCCTGACATGCCAACTTCTGTATCACAAGATTGTTCCGGTGAGCGCACATGGCATCCACGATGGCAGGGACGCCTTCTGCCTCAAATATCAAGGAATTGTTATCGCTGTTGCCGCGAGATAAGTTGATCAGCGCTGCGCAAGCACGGATGGGTGCTCCAGATGAGCGCGCATGGCGGCGACGATGAGCGCTATTGCTCCTCCTTCCCCGATCTTGGTGGCGACGATGAGCGCTATTGCTCCTCCTTCCCCGATCTTATTGGCGACGTTGTTGTTTGCTGACAAGAGTCGGAAAAACTTACACCCTGCTCGAGCTAGCTTCTCGTTGACAGACCCTCGCTTCATCGCCGAGATCATCGCCTCTATCGCTCCTGCCACCCATGCTTCCTCCTCGTTACCCTTCAGCTCCTCCTGCGTGACGATTCACAACATAGCCTCCACTGCTGCTGCCAACTCAATCTCAATTTCGTGCTCCCCCATGATTTCTGCAAGCCTCCTCCAGTCTCTGCTCCTCCCCGCTGCTGCTATCTCCTGCAGCGCATGCTCACTACTCAGCACCTCAACATTGTCCTCCCTCAGCATTTCATCGTGCTCTCCAAGCATGTTGATGATCTGACAGATGCGAGCCGCAAGCTTGAGGAAACAAGCTAAGAAGAGGAGAAGCTAAGAAGACTGCCCGGCGGCCCGGGGGCGGGCGGGGGCCCGGGCCGGAGTGCCAGCCTGGCAGGCTCAGCGGCCAGGTCACCAAGTTCGCGGCCCGGGCCCGGGGGCCGCCTTGTTTCAGTCACAGAGTCACTTGCCGCTTGAAGCAAAGTTTTAGTTGTGCCCCCGAGTGACCCACCGGTAACAGAGCGCCCGTTAAGTTTTTTCATGTACGAGACTGCAGGCCCCGGCGGCCTACTCAAGGTCACCGGGCCCGGCGATCCGATCGGATCCGGGATGACTGATCGGACTCGCTACCCGGATCAGAAGCATTGCAGTGCTCAGTACGGTCAGTCACGAGTCAGTGCTGTAGCTTGTCAGCCTCGGTGTCGAGTCGGGCCCGAGATGCGTCCCGGCTTGTGAGATTCGGAGGTGGGCCCACAAACGAGCTCGGTAGCAACTGACATCTGCGACGTGGGAGCAGCAGCGCCATGCCCTACTCTTTGCTCCATGTATGTCTCAACGACTGTGATAGCTTAGCTTGACCTCTCTTGTTCTCTTTCCTCCATGTATGTCTCAACGACAGTGATAGCTTAGCTTGACCTCTCTTGTTCTCTTTCCTCCATGTATGTCTCAACGACAGTGATAGCTTAGCTTGACCTCTCTTGTTCTCTTTCCTCCATGTATGTCTCAACGACAGTGATAGCTTAGCTTGACCTCTCTTGTTCTCTTTCCTCCATGTATGTCTCAACGACTGTGATAGCTTAGCTTGACCTCTCTTGTTCTCTTCCCCTTCTTCTCTTCCATTCTCTCGCTTCTTCTCTCCTCCCCCACTCTTGTCGTCCTGCTGTGTCGTGTTTCTTCCATTTGAATGTCTTGCTATGCCGCTCCTTCACTTGAGTCTCGTTTCTCCTCTTCTCATGATGCCGATTGTAGCACCGTTGTTCCATACATGTAGTTATGCCATGCTATCAGATTTTGTTGCCGTTGCAACTCTTGTCACATGACTGAGCTTGTTTAACAGATCGCTGCCATTCGCAACGACGTGAAGCGAGCGAAGGAGCTGATTGAAGGAGGAGGCCCTGACCTCGTGCACGTCTGGTCCGGACAGACTCAGCCATTGAAAGTGAATGCTGGAGGGAGGGAGGAGGAGGAGATGACGCAGAGGCAGGAGGAGCACATCTACATTGACGTTCGAGACAAGCAGGGGTGGACACCGCTGATGGTCAACCAAACTCTCTTGCCTGATCTACTGCATGATAGTGATATCTGAATGTACATGATGGTGATATGTGGGAGAGCATGATGGTGATATGTGGGAGAGCATGATGGTGATATGTGGGAGAGCATGATGGTGATAATTCTTTTTACATGTCGTCAGGTCGCGGCAGCTCATGGTCACTATGACATGTGCAATCTGCTGCTATCCAGCAAGGCAGATGTGAATGCCCGCAAGGACTTTCGCTGCTCCTCCCTACACCTCGCGGCACATGGCGGCCACACGGTGAGAGGGGAGGGAGGGGGAGCTAATTTGCGAGGAGAGAAGGGAAGAGAGGAGGGAGGGGGAGCTAATTTGCGAGGAGAGGAGGGAGGAGAGGAGGGAGGAGAGGAGGGAGGAGGAGCTGATGTGCGAGAAGAGGAGGGAGGAGAGGAGGGAGGGGGAGCTGATGTGTGAGGAGAGGAGGGAGGAGAGGAGGGAGGAGAGGAGGGAGGAGGAGCTGATGTGCGAGAAAAGGAGGGAGGAGAGGAGGGAGGAGGAGCTGATGTGCGAGAAGAGGAGGGAAGAGAGGAGGGAGGGGGAGCTGATGTGTGAGGAGAGGAGGGAGGAGAGGAGGGAGGAGAGGAGGGAGGAGGAGCTGATGTGCGAGAAAAGGAGGGAGGAGAGGAGGGAGGAGGAGCTGATGTGCGAGAAAAGGAGGGAGGAGAGGAGGGAGGGGGAGCTGATGTGTGAGGAGAGGAGGGAGGAGAGGAGGGAGGGGGAGCTGATGTGTGAGTGCAGCGCGTGGTATCTCGTCTCATAGAGGCTCACGCAAACGTGCTGATGGAGAAACTTGACGGGAGTCTGCCCATACATGATGCCGCCAAGCAAGGCCACATTGACGTGTGCTGCATTTCCTCCCTCTCTTTCCCTCTCCTCCTCCCTCTCCTCCTTCTCTCTCTCCTGCTTCTCCTCCCCCTCTTCCTTCATCTTCCTGCTTCTCCTCCTGCTTTTTCTTCTCCTCCTTTTCTTTCATCCATCTCCTCCTTCTCCTTCTCCTGTTGCTTCCCTTTCCTCCTCCTCTCCTCCTCTCCTCTCCTCCTCCCTCTCCCTCTCCTCTCCTCCTCCCTCTCCTCCTTCTCTCTCTCCTGCTTCTCCTCTTTCACCCTCTTCCTTTATCTTCCTGCTTCTCCTCCTGCTTTTTCTTCTCCTCCTTTTCTTTCATCCTTCTCCTCCTTCTCCTTCTCCTGCTGCTTCCCTTTCCTCCTCCTCTCCTCCTCTTCAACCATCTGTTGCAGGTCGTGAAGGTCCTGCTGAAACACTCGCACGGGCAGCATGGTGCTTGCGACGCTGGTGGGACTGGACGGCTGACGATGCGAGTGGTAGATGCCATGCTACGAAGCGTAACGGACAGCAAGCAAACGCCGTTGCACGTGGCAGCGAAGAAGGGGCAGGCAGAGATGGTCCGATACCTGATCGCCTCCGGAGCTCCTCTCGACGTCAAGGACGAGAAAGGAAACCTGCCTTCAAGCGTCTGCTCCAACAGGAGAACCCTCCTCGCGTATGCATCCTCTGTTTCCTCCTCTAGTCGCCTCGTCCTCTGGTCGCCTCGACCTCTGGTGACCTTCCCCCGCAGGTTTCCCGAGTCGTTTGAGAGTGCGGAGAAGGTGAAGGGGAGAGGAGGCTGACGAGCTCTGACCTGCTAGTCCAGCTCAACGTCATGGCGCAGGTGCACAAGCGACCCGAGACAGGGGACGTGGCAAAGTTCACACAGTCGCTTGGAATCTCGGAGCAACCCATGGACTTTCCTTTCTGATCTTGTAATGTGAATTCTCTACACGACTAGTGTTTCCATAACCTTCAATGTACATGTAATCTACACTTGCTTGCTTCCCATCCTCTCCTCCCTCTCATCGCCTTTGACTCTTGCGAGGAGTTGGAAAGTTCTTGGAGTCATCCCACATCACAGAAGCCGTCGACTGAGAGCCGGTGTGATCATGAGGGAAGTCGAAGAGGTGCTGGTAGAACTCCGAGTAGAAGTGCTTCTCCTCCTCCTGCATCTGAAGCGAACCTCCCAACCCCTCCGCGTCCTCCCTCACATCCACCTCCAGGTTGATCTTTTCTACATCGATGCTCTCCAAGCAGTCCTCGATGGCGCTCACCAGCGTCTGTATGTCTGTCTCCAAGCGCGAGGGCTGCCCTCTGCGCAGCGCGTCGTAGGAGGACTCGTGAGCTTCGATCCTGCTCTTGAGGTTGGTGACGAGCAGCCGAAGTCGGAAGACGATGAGCAAGACGTCAGTCAGCTCGCCGCGCAGCTTCGCCAGGTTCTGCCACTTGTCATCGACGATCACTCTGAGCAGTCTGGCAAACATCTCCATTAGTTGGTAGTAGTCATCCACCGACCCGATCTCGTGACGCTTGATGCTCAGCAGCAGCTCGCTCTTCATCTGACCGAAGGACGCTCTTGTGTCTTGCTTGGGCAGGTGCAGCAGATGCCGCCGGATGACCTGCTTCCTGTGGCTCCTTGCGCAGCAGGCCGGGAGCAGCAGCGTGGCGAGGACGAAGGCGAGGACAGCAGAGAGCGCTGTGAAGTTTGTGCTGTTCATCCCAGGAGGACAGTCTTGCAGAGACAGCACGAGGAGGAAGAGACGTTCTGAGGCGGACACATCCACGTCCCTCGGCGTTGCTTGCTGCAAGTCCTCGAGCCCTCTCGACACACTGGCAGCGACACTTGGCCGCCTGACCTCCAGCAGAGCTTGCACGGGGTCCAGCAGCTGCTGGGAGACTTTCCCGGCCTCGGCACCCTCGAGGAGGAGGAGCAAGCCGTTGGTTGACTTGAGCCCGACGACAGAGACTCGCCTGATGTCGCTGCCGCCCAGCCGGTCGGAGGAGAAGGGAAGCTTGTGCTCGGCAACCTGCTGACCGTGAGCTGCTCGCATCCTCTTGATCTTCTCACCTTGTACGCCAACGTTGATGAGTCTGCAGCCTCACTGCTTACGACGAGCGTGTCGAGCACCCGATCAAGCACCTGCTCTTCCACCAGCACCTGTACCACCGCAGGCTCCTTCTCCCCCAGAAACTGCTTGACCGGGGAGGAAGAGGACGCGTCCAACAGAATCAAAGCATGTTTGTCGATCAAGTAGCAACGGTTCCCTAAGACAGCAGCGTCAAACATGCCATGGAGTATTGGGATGAACCTGGAAACACGTTTCGGTTGCAAACATTCATCTCGACCCGCCCCCTCATCTCAAAGCTCTCTGCTTCAAACATCATCCGTCTCAGTGCATCCCAACACAACTGCAAGCCAACTACTCCGACGACTCTGACTGAACATGTCACCGCACGCCAAGGCTGATAGAGCTCTCACCCCGGCGCTCCTCCCGTCCCCTCGTACGGCAGCGACTGCGACAGGAGCAAGCTGGAGCTCAAAGTCGAGGGGGTCAGGTGAAGGGCATCGGAGTCGAGGAGGCCTCGGGTAAACCAGGGCTGCCTGTGCGTTCGAGATAAGAGGCGAGCAAGACAGCATGAAGTGAGTGAGTGAGTGAGTGAGTGAGTGAGTGAGTGAGTGAGTGGCGAGTGAGTGAGTGAGTGAGTGAGTGAGTGAGTGAGTGAGTGAGTGAGTGAGTGAGTGAGTGAGTGAGTGAGTGAGTGAGTGAGTGAGTGAGTGAGTGAGTGAGTGAGTGAGTGAGTGAGTGAGTGAGGGAGTGAGTGAGCGAGTGAGTGAGTGAGTGAGTGAGTGAGTGAGTGAGTGAGTGAGTGAGTGAGTGAGTGAGTGAGTGAGTGAGTGAGTGAGTGAGTGAGTGAGTGAGTGAGGGAGTGAGTGAGTGAGTGAGTGAGGGAGTGAGTGAGTGAGTGAGGGAGGGAGGAAGCGAGGGAGGGAGCGAGGGAGCAAGTGTGAAAACCTGGTGGGGTCAATTGCCGTGATACTGCTTGATGACTGATTGGTGACCGACAACTTCCGGTACACCCCAGCGTTGGTCGAGAAGAAGACGCTGTCGATGCAGCGAGCGTTGACCCGAGTCAAGTTCCATGCTGACTCAACTAACGCGGAGAATCGAGCTTGCAGGTAAGCCTCACTTGTGACTCCTCCTCCTGTCATCTGCCAAGGCCAACCGTCAGCTCGATACTCCAGCAAGAGGTCGCGGGCTACTTGTCTGCTCGAGTGATACACGACGCTGTTGAGGACCTTGAGCAAGGCCTCCCATCCTCGAGCCTCCGCTTGAGACTTGTCGCACTCCGAGGTGTTGTGCGAGGAAGCACAGGCTGCCTGACGCAGGCTCGCCTCCCCATCAGTGCGCACCTCCATGGGACTGACGAACCTGCTCGGGGGAATGAAGATGGATGAAACCATCGGCTGGGCTGGACTCCAGCTCAAACATCGCACAGAGTCGTTACAGCTGAGAGACAGCAGCGTGTTGACTCGAGAGGTCAGACGAAGAGATTCAGGGCGCTTGCCTGGCGTATAGATTTGCCACGAGGTGACCAACACAAGAAGGGTGTAAGGTTTCATGTGCCGCCAAGTGTAGGTCAAGTTGATCTGCTGGTTGGGCTGCGGTTCAAAGAGCCATGTCGGCAGGTTCACCAGCTCACGTTTGGTGAGGATCTGATGATCGGAACCCCAAGGAAGCGAGAGGATGTCGAGCAGCTTACCAGAGGACAGGAGCTGACCCCCCGTCCACTCATTCAGGGAGTAACGGATGTCTCCAGCGACGGAAGCGACGCTTTGATTCCTTCCATGGTACGAGGCGAGAGCCTCTTCGCTCACAAGCAGCACGCCTGGGCTCACGCTCCTCTGGAACACCTGGAAGCTTTGGTGCGCGTTCAGTACCGTCTTGTTCATTCTGACGTTAAGCATGTGCGTGCGTAGCCCCTGAAAGGAAGTGTTGGTGGGATCGTTGTACACAAGCTCCACAGTCACAACTCCGAGAAGCTGCGGAGACGAAGAGTTTCGATTCTGAAAGCACGGCGTCGATATTGCAATCAGTTCTGTCCGGCCGCAAGCAGATGCGTAGGGTAAGCTTATCGAGAGCTCCGGGCTCGCAGCAAGAGGAGCAGCCATGATGATGAAGTAGTCGGTGAGCACGTCTAGCAGGTAGGAGCTTTGATCTCTTGTGCTGGAATGGTTCCATTGTGAGAAGTGAAACTCGACCCCTTTAAGCAAGCAGGAGAATGCTTTGAGGTTGTACATCTGCGGGCTTATCGCGAACATGAAGAAGTGAACATGCGAGGAGGAATAGTTCAGATCTGCCATCGAGGAGCGTAAGGAGGAGGAGACTTGAAGCCTGAAGTCACTGACTGCGACGACTGAGCAAACGAGAGAGGAGCACTCGGAGCTGTTGAAGTAGGAGGATGCGTTCTGAAGCTCTTTCTGCCAGAGATAAGAGTCCAGAGCCCCATCGCACTCGATATCGCTGATCATCGACTGCAGGATGAGCTTGTTGTGATAGGAGGCGGAGGTGAAGCCACGGGTGACGGTCATGCTGGAGGAGGAGGTATAGAGCATCACAACGTCATTGGGAAGCAGCGTGTCCACCAGTCCGTTCACCACCTGCTTCATCCTCGCACATCCCTCCTCCCCCCGCAAGCGCATCGAGTTGTCCATGACCACCAGCAGCTTCTTCCTCGCCTGACTGGCGTTCAAGAAGGAGGGCGAGCGACGGCCATCCCCAACCTTGCGCTCTCCTGCAAGCTCCATGCTGCTGCCATCCATCTCTGTAAACCTGATGCCCTGCAGGTAGGGTACAGACGGGTTGACGAACTCAGAGTAGAAGGAGTTCTGAATGGCGACAGGAATCGAGGAAGCGTTCTTAGTACTGCCATCGCTTGACATGAAGGTTATGGTAGCATGATCCTGGGAGCAGCTGCTCCTGTCCGTCATCACGCCCCTCAGTCGCTCCTTGAAACTTTGATTGGATGTTGCCACTGCCTGCTCGTTATCGCACACGGAGCTCTCGAGCCCGAGCTCGATCTGGCTCCTAAGTGACTCAATCATCGCTGTTGCGTTCTTGAGGACGTTGCTCATCGACGTCTCCACCTGCTGCAGCTGCTGTGCCAGGGTCTCCTCTGCGGGTGCAAGAGCATGCTTCGCTACAGCACTGTCCATCATCTCTTTCAGCGTCGTGCCATCTTTCTTGCTAGGAGGGTTGGAGCAGCTCCCCATGCCCGAGTTTGTCGTTGAGCAAAAAGTGTCCAAGAGCGACGCAGAGAGCAACTCAGCGAGAGCCGCCGCTGAAGGAGCAGCAGTAGCACTGGCATAACTTGATACGAGAATGCACTGACACAGCAGCAGCAACAGCGAAAACCTGCGGCAACCCGAAGGGAGGAGGCAGCAGGGAACAGCTCGAGGAGGAGGACGGAGGGTCAGCAGAGGAGGAGGAGGAGACGAGCGACGTGGATCCCGTCTTGCCTGCATGGCTACTACCGGCAAGGAAACGCTGCCATGTCGCCAGTCCCACTCAGTACCGAGGTGTCGGGCCGCAAAAAGAACAGTGTTCGTAACTGCCCGTAACGTTTTCATTTTTCCGTTTCGAATGTAACGGGTGCTTCGGTCAAGATTTAAAAAAACTTTATTGAGTCTGTACCAGAGTTCTCCTTAAAACAATTTTTGAGCTTCATATGCTTTAGGAAGTGTACCGTATTTGGAAAATCTTAAAATAGTTTTAAAACTACGGCCTTGGGGTGGTGGACTCAATGATTGAGGTGGTTCAAGTACCCCTACCCACATATCAGATGATATTTGATCCTAGTTTGGGGGGTAATGTGTCTTCAAATGGGGTGGTATTGTTATTTGAAAGACAGGGGTGGGGTACTTGCGCGTGGCGCGGCAATGGATCGACGGTGAGTGAATGAGAGCGCAGAACAAGGGAGAGAGAGGAAGGAGAGGTAGCGACGCCGGCGAACGGAAGGATGGGATAGGAGGGAGGAGGGAGGAGGGAGGAGCATGTCGAAAGGGTGATTGAGAAGATTACGAAGAGGATAAATCGAAGGAATGTTCGAGAAAGAAAGGAACTTTTACAAGCAGGAGATGTAACACGGCAAAGAACATCGTATAAGAGCGAGTTGTAGTAGGATGATCGAGACAGAATGTCCTAGACCATAGTAAGCTGCGATGAGAGGTATGGAAGTGGAGACCGAGGATGTGCCAGTCAGAGAGGTACACTTCGCCTTCGAATGTTTTGGATTTTCAAACATGATGATGGCAAGGTAAAGGGTGGGGCGTGGAAGAGTGCAAGTCTCAATCAGATAGTCGTATGTGAGCAGTTTCTCTTGAGAGGCAACGAAGTTGTTTCTTCGAAGTTTGAAACTTGATAAACATGGTTTCTTCACGACCCACTAGACGACTGAACGACTGTAGAACTCACTCCAATCCTTGTGACGATGTACTGAACACGCGGAATTCAGCTTAGGTGGAAAACCCAAACAACAAGAATCTCGAGGAGGGGATGCCTGGCGCAAAGGTAAGGCTATTCCGGCATGTGCTCATCAGTTTTATCTGTGTATCTTCACTGTTTGCTTGCTCCTCTGTTATGGCTTTGCTCACTGCATCTGGTGTTCCCACTCACAAAGGTTCTTCAGGAGGCAACTTCTCTAAGGATGGAGGAGGAAGGGATGGAGGAAGGGATGGAGGAAGGGATGGAGGAAGGGACAGTGGCAGAGATGGTGGCACCCCTCGAGGCGACCGCGGTGACCGTCGGTCCGGAGGACAGAGGAGGTACTCTGATCAGTCTTCTGGTAATGTACAACTTACCTGCTATGTCCGGAATCCAGTGGATACACGGGCGCTCCTCGCGGCAACTCCGATCCGATGCAAGACAGGCTGCACTTGGTGTTCGCATCTCTGATCGGGCAAACAGTTCGAGTTCAAGTGGGATATTGTTTATATGACCTGTTATATGACTTGTTCTGGAACAGGATTCTGATAATCAGTGGTACGAGGGCCTCTTCCATGAGTGCAGTAAGAACACCAAGGCTGGGATGGAGGTGATATCATCCTCACCGAGGCAGCATCCTAGAGCTCAGATGTTTTATCAGATTGTCCTGCAAGCAGCGTACAACATCAGCAAGAACGAGAAGGGCATGGTATTTGGAATCCCTTTGCAACGACCTCAAGTTGAATGAGTGCCGGGCAGGTTAAGCCGATTGAAAAACTCACAATCAACTGTGAAAACTTTGTGCAAGTATGCAATATGGACCAATTTGAATGAGAAGTTTACATCGGTGTCAGATGTTTGCAAAGGATGTAGAGCTCTGTAAAGAGAAGAAGACCGGCAATGCTCGTGGATTTGCTACTGACACAGGTTCAATGAGAGCACCCCCTCTTGCTGTGCCTGAACTCCTCACTGCTGTAAAATAGAGATCTCCTCCGGTTCATCCGTTGCTTCAAAGGAGCTTGAAAAGTTTCAATTCGACGAGAAGAATGAGTTTGCGACCATCCAACTCGATTCGAACTCACAGGTTTGGACTTGTCGATGTTGTTCGTGATTGGATTGGCTCTGATTTTGTTGCAGGATTGGGATCAATTCGAGCAAAACAGGCAAAAGTTTGGTGTCACGAGCAACTATCACGTGCGGCTTTCTTTGGTTTTGACTCAAAAGATATTAATCTGCATGATCGAACAGGAAGACTTGTACACCACTAAGTTGGACAAGTCGAAGCTGACCCTCGAGCAGCAACGAGCTGCTGAGCGCATTGCAGGTGTTGATACCTCTCCCTCCGTCCTCTCAGACTGACTTCCTTTGTGTAGCTGAGATCGAAGGAGACCAACAAACACAGCGAAAGATCTTCGGACGTGTGCGAAATGCCGACGAGGCGGAGGTATCTCCTGTGTTGGTACCCGGGCCTTGAATGATTTATTTCTTCAGGCTGCTGGCGATGATGAAGGGGATGAGTGGGCTAGTGATGTTAGAAATGTTGATGGAACAGTCCGTGGATCCTACCACAAAGCACAAGCTGCTCCTCGTGAGCTATACACTTATCTTCCTCCATCCCTCTGACTCGATTCAGCTGCAAATCCCAACGTGTACAAGCCTCCTCGTGGAAATGCCTGGGGCCAAAGCAATACGCTCGCAGACAAGCTCAAGAACGAAAAGAAAATTGCTGACCTCAAAGCTAATGACCCTGCCATCTTGTCCACGACCTTGATGCCAAGCTCTGCGGTACGATCCCGTTCACGTCATGGTGATGTTGTGACATCCGGCTTCTCAGACCATCATGTCTGAGCCCAAGAGCGACCAAAAGCCTCAGGAGAGCAAAGGAGATGGCAAACCCAAAGACGGCGAACCTCAGAACGCTCCGACAGGTGAATGCTGGGCGTCAAACCCTCCTCGCTGACGCCAATAGTAGACAAGGACAAGGAGCACTACTCGACACAGCAGAACAAGCTTCAGGTGCCACAAAAGCTTGGTGAAGGTGGATGCTGATCTCTATCGTCATAGCAAGTGAAGATGGAGCGACAAGAACAGATGCCTGGTGCCAAACCGGCCAATCGCGCCTTGAAACCTCCTGGGGTGAGCCTGCATCAGTGTGCCGGGCTTGCGGTCATTTCTCTTGCAGTCTCAAGGAGCTGCCGAGCCAGGAAAGCCCAACGACGATGAAGGCCAACTAAAGGCTCTCAACCCCGAGGTAAGGGACGTGACCTCGGGTTCCTCCGAGTGATGGGGTTGACAGAGCTCGGAAAACAAGGACGGGAAGGTCGCTGGCTCCACTATCCCAGTCAAAGAGCAGGTAAGAGGAGGAAGGCTGCGATGCCCGAGCAAGCGCTCACTTGCTGTAGGGCGACAGCACTGCAGAAGCGCCGAAGAAGAAGCTGCTCAACGTCGACGCCAAGGAGTTCGTGCCTTCTTTCTCAGGTCGCTGGCCCTTGAGATGCCGCCCTCTGCTCACTACTCCTGCAGCCCCTCAAGACATGTCCGGCTCCTTCGGCCCTGCTGGAGGCTTCGTGCCGAGCCCGCAGCAGGGCGGGATGCAGCACGGGATGGTGGGTGACATGATGCAGGATGGCATGGGGATCATGAACCATCCCAACATGATGATGCACCCGGGGATGGCCATGCCGGGCATGATGGACCCCCAGATGATGCGGGCGGGCCACCCTTCTTCGTGCTGGGGAACCCCCAGTACATGCGGATGGCTCCCATGCCGATGCAGCACATGGGCCACGTCCCGATGCACATGAACCCGGTGAGACTTCTCGCTCCTCCTCCGCTCCTCCGCTCCGCTGACTTGGATGGGCAGCAGCAGCAGAATATGAACATGGGGAGGGAGGGCATGCAGCCGGGAGGACGGGGAGTCCACGTTCCCAGGAACAACATGCCCAACGACTACGGCGGGCAGGATCCAGGATGATGACAAAGAGACAGAGGGGGAGGAGGAGGAGGCCGAGGAGGCAGGGAAATCGAGCCGGAGGATGGCTGGCTGTGGATTTTGTCTTCCTCTGCCACCTCGGAATGCCAAATGGTGGGAAATCATCAGTGGGGAGGGCCAGTGGCAAGGCAAGAGGAAGAGAGGTGATCGTTCTTGGAAAGAAGGGGAGGGATGCTGGAGGACGGCGAGAGATGAAAGGCGGAAGAGGGAGAAGGAAAGAAAAGAGCGGGTAAGACGGGGAGGGAGGGCGAGGTGTGCCACCGTCACTGCGGTCAAGCGAGACAGTTCAGCAGGACACACAGGATGGTTGCAGTCACAAACACAAAAAGATGAAAAATGTGGAGAAGCATGTCAAAAGAGCTGGCAAATATGGCTGATGTTGATGACGATGCTGCTGATGCTGATGCTGATGCTGATGCTGATGCTGATGCTGATGCTGATGCTGATGCTGATGCTGATGCCGTCGTTCAAGGTTCGTGGTGATGAAATTTTTCCAGGGGTGTGTATTTGTCGTTTTCTTGCTATTATTTGTAGAAATTCCTGAAGGACAGCAAGTCAGTTCAATGCTCTTGTTGTTGTTTCGAGCTTCTGCCTCAGGTGCTATCGGCATCGGTCTCAGGACCTCGAGGAGCAAAGAGCGAAGAGTTTACAGCTACCGGATGGAAAGATGATGAAAGATGTCGGAGGGAAGCCGAAGGGAAGAAGAGAGTGAAGGAGAGTCTGATAATGAAGGAGCTTACTAGAGGATCCCCTTACTCTTTAACCTCCCCCCTCATACCTGTATTGCGCACATCTACATTCCTCCTCCTCCTCCTCCTCCTCCTCCTCCTCCTCCTCCTCCTCCTCCTCCTCCCTCCTCCCTTCTCCTTCTCCTCCTGCTCCCTTCTCCTCCTCCTCTGCCCCTCCTTCGTAGTCTTCCCTCTCAGTCTCCTACTAGCTAGAAGAAGCATAGGATTTACTGGCAGAAGGTAAAAAGTGCCTCAAGCTAGACATAGTCCTCCCTCAATTTCATTGCTCTCGTTACCCCTCGAGGGTGGGGGTGATATTTGTACGGTGAACCAGGGGTGGGTATATCATTGATTCTCAGGGAATCCCAGGGTGGGTGAGGGAAAAGGAAGGGTGGGTGGTCTCGGCAGACTGGTTGACAAGACCCAACCGTCATGGCCGACGCGAGCGAAGAAGTCGACGAGAGGAAGGAGGAGGAGGAGGAGCAGAAGCAGGAGCAGGAGGAGTTGAAGGAGGAAGAAGCGAAGGAGGAGGAGAAGCAGCAAGAGAAACCTGAAAAGAAGGAGGAGGAAGCCAAAGGAGGAGGAGGAGGAGGTAGTGGAGCATATCCCTGCGGTTATGTCGGAGGTGTCGACGATAGAGGAGATCGCAAGATTTTCCCATCGAAGCTCATCACGGAAGAGGCTCTTGGTATGCTCTGATACTGATGCTGAAACCTGATGACGGTGCTGCTGCTGCTGCTGCTGCTGCTGCTGCTGCTGCTGCTGCTGCTGCTGCTGTTGCTGCTTCTCATGATGATGATGAGCTGAAGGAGATGGTGGAGATGACTTGGATGTTTCACTAGCTGTTTGCTCGAAGTTGACGGGCATGGAGGGGCTGCCCATGGATCAGGTGACCTGCTCCTCCTTGCACCAACTCATTCCCTCCTCCTCGTCCTCCTCCTCTCTCCCTCCTTCCTTCGTTGATATGGATGCTTGAAAGATCCTTGGAGAAGGTGTGAGCATGAACGAGGAGGAGTTTGCAGAGATCTGCAAGGTACGGGATGGAGAGTACAACGAGGAGGGGAGGGGAGGGGAGGGGAGGGGAGGGGAGGGAGGACAGAGGAGAGGAGGGGAGGGAAGAGGAAGGGAGGGGACATGGTTGAGCTTGAAGCAGGCAATGGAGGACGAGCAGGCAGACATCTACCGAGCGTGCTATTCTCATTTCCTAGAGTACTTTAAGAAGGTGGACGAGGAGGGGAAGGGGATGTTGATTGGAGACACGTTCAAGACGGTGCGTATGCCCAGTCATCCTCCCCCCCTTTTTGACTCAGCTCCATTGCTTTTCCCCTGTCCTGTCCTGTCCTGTCCTCTCTTGCTGTTGTCGTTCCATTCTGCCTCCCCTCACTCCACTCTTCCTGACTCCTCTCCTCTGCTCTCCTCTCTTTCTCCTCTCTCTCTCCTCTCTCCTCTCCCCTCCTGTCCTCTTTCTCTCCTCTCCTCTCCTCTCTTCAGCAAAGTTTCCCTCCCTCTCCCGTCTTCTCTTTTGTCTCCTCATCTGTCTTTCAGGTCCTCACTGACATGGAGGGAGAATACGCCATGTCTTTCATGACCGAGAGGTCGTTAAGACCCCTGCTGCTGCTGTTGCCGCTGCCGCCGCCCCTGCAATCCCTACTCCTCTTTCATTAACCCCCCCCCTCCCTTCTCATCGCTCTTTCCCTTCCTCTGACTGCTGTCACAGGGCGCAGGAGCTGATCGCGTCAGCTGCAGGAGTGGCGGACGGGGGGAAGGGACTGGAGCCGCCGGCAGGAGAGGGCGACATGGTCTTCTATGAAGACTTCTTGAGAAGAGAGCTCAAGTCTCCTCGCGACATGAAGCTCTGAAGGAAGAGGAGGAGGAGGAGGACAGGGAGAAAGTGGGAGAGGAGGAGAAGGAGGATGGGGAGGAGGGAGAGGAGGGGGATGATGGTCTTAGTGGTGCGGGGCTGATTAAAAAGCTGTCTCCGTGTAATCAAACATGGAGTTGACAGAAGAAGCAAAAGGGGCGGGAGGAGGAGAGGGAGATGGTGGGGGAAGGAGGAGGAGGATGACGGGAGTTAGAAGTCAGGA